CCCACTTCCCTTTTCATATTCGGCAACCAGAATGTCTTCTTCATGTCCTTATACAACTTATCCCCTTCGGGATGCATTGAATAAGGAGAAGTATGAGCTTCCTCCATCAACTTCTGCTTAAGATCACTTTGGTTATGGGGAACACACCATCTGCCTTTAAACCCCATCTTCCATCATCGGCTATCGAAAAGTCCAATAATTTGCCCTTCCTCGATCTTCTCCTTAATCTTGTTCAACTTCTCGTCCTTAGGCTGACTTTCTCGAATCTCGTCATAAATCGACGGCTCACTCAGCAAGGCACTTAAAATCCTCTTTACCTCTCCTTATTCCAATACCTCCAAATTCATCTTTTGGAATTCCACACATAATTGGTTTGGGAGAATCATCGTGTTAACTGTATGATTTTACTTCCTACTTAATGCATCAGCTACAACATTCGATTTCCCTTCATGATACTGGATTTCCAAGTCGTAATCCTTAATCAACTCCAACCATCTTCGTTGTCTCATGTTCAACTCCTTTTGAGTGAATATGTACTTCAAACTCTTGTGATCGGTGAAGATCCTACATGTCACTCCGTACACATAGTGTCTCCAAATTTTTAAGGCAAACACAATTGCAGCTAACTCCAGGTCATGGGTTGGGTAATTCACCTCATAAGGCTTCAACTGTCTCGAGGCGTAAGCAATCACCTTTCTATTTTGCATTAACACACAACCTAACCCAAACTTTGACGCATCACTATACACCTCATACTGCTCACTTCCATCAGGCAGGGCTAACACAGGTGCCATAGTCGACTTTTCTTTTAACGTCTGAAAAGCCTTCTCACACTTCGGAGTCCACTCGAACTTGCATTCCCTTCTCATCAAGCTCTTCATAGGTCTTGCAATTCTCTTGAAATCCTTAACAATCTCCTATAATAACCTGCTAACCCAAGAACACACTCCTCAGGGTCAGCCATTCACTACTGCCTTTACCTTTGCTTGATCAACCGATACTCCTTCCTTAGAAATCACATGACCTAGGAAAGCTACCTCCTCCAACCAAAACTCACACTTTGAAAGTTTAGCGTATAATTGATGCTCTCACAAGGTTGACTATATCGTCCTCAAATGATCCTCATGCTCATCCCGGTTCTTCGAATACACCAAAAAATCATCGATAAACACCACAACAAACTTGTCCAAGTATGGCCTAAAGATTCAGTGCATTAAATCAATAAAAACTACAGGTGCATTGGTTACCCAAATGGCATTACAGTGAATTCATAATGACCATAACGATTCCTAAAAGCACTCTTTGGAATGTCCGACTCTGCTATACTCAACTGATGATACCCTGACCTCAAATTGATCGTTGAAAATATTCCTGCCCCTTTCAACTGGTCGAACAAATAATCAATCCTAGGCAGCGGGTACTTGTTCTTGACTGTCACATTGTTCAACTCTCGGTAATCTATACATAACCCCTCAAGTTTCCATCCTTCTTCTTCAAGAACAAAACTGGTGCACGCCATGGTGATGAACTCGGCCGAATATATCCTTTCTCCAACAAGTCATCTAACTGAGTCTTCAACTCCTTCATCTCAGCCGGGGCCATCCTATATGGAGCCTTTGAAATAGGTCATGTCCTTGACACTAAGTCTATGGTAAATTTAACATCCCTCAAAGTGGCATCCGTAGGATTTCCTTAGGGAAAACATCGAGAAATTCATTTACTACTAGAATACCCTTCCCATCAACTCCATCTCCTTCTTCTATCTTTTGGACACTACACATATACAGTGGGTATCCTTTTGTTACATCCTTATAAGTTGCAAAGCAGATATGATCTTCAACCCTGAATTCTTCCCTTCCCTTCGATAGGTTACCCTTACTTTGTCTGGGCCACGCAACGTGACCTTTTAGGCTTCGCAATCAGTTTGGGCCTTGTATTTGCCCAACCAGTCCATCCCCAAAATGACATCGAGATCTTGTAAATCAAGCTCGATTAAATCTGACAAAAATTCTACTTTTGAAATGACAAGAGGTACACCCTGATGCATCTTAGTGCAACTCACCACCTCCCCTGATGGAATAGCAATATCTAAGGAAACAAACACCAGACTTTCTAACTTGAGTCTATCTACTAAAGTTCTAGAAATAAAAGAGTGAGACGCCCCTGAATCGTACAAGACTTTAGTAGAAATAGAACAAATAAAGAAATTGCCAATTACCACATCAGAAGCAGTTGCAGCCTCACGACTATTCATCAGGAACACACGACCTTTAGGAGTTGCTCCACTGTTGTTGTTGTTGGGTCCAGGCTTAGGATTGAATCCGCTGGGCTGAGTTGGCTTAGGTTGGTTTATCTCATCTTGGGGTTTACCCAACTGCTCATCCGAGACCTTCTTGTAACATTCATACTCACGGTGACCTAACTTTTGGCAATAGCGGCAAGTCACTTGTTTCCCTCACAATCCCTTCCTGGGTGGTTCTTCCCACATTTCTTGCAAAAATAGGTTCTCTTGGGTTTGTCTCCATTCCCTCGATTCCCATTTCCTCTTTCAAAATCACCCCTGCTGTCCCTTTTCCCATTGAAATTCCCACCAGGATTCCCCTCAACTTTGGGTTTCTTTTCACTCCCATTGAAATTCCCACTAGTCTTCCTGTTTTCCTTAGAAAAGTTTCCCTCTAACTCTCTCCCCTTGATCCCATAAAGGTGTGGTGCTCTCCCATAAACCTCATCTAAGGTTTCAAAGGTCACTCCTCCTAGTTTCCCTTGAAGGGTTAAAGTCAAACCTTGCCCAAACCTTTGGGCCTTAAGTGCTTCAGTTAGTACTACCTCAGGTGCAAATCTCATTAACTCAATGAAATTGCTATAATACTCATTAATTGTCATGTTCCCCATCCTAAGGTTGGTAAACTCCATGCACTTTTGTTTCCTCAAATAGGCAGGGTAAAACTTCTCTCTTAAAGCTTCCTTAAATTCAGCCCACCCAAAGTTAGGAATACTCATTAAGTAATCTCTCCTTTGACTCCACCACAAATTGGCTTCCTCTCTAAGGTAATAAACAACATTATTAACTTTAATTCCTCAGGGAAATTAATAGCATTAAAAAGTTTATCAAATTCTCTCACCCAATTTTCTAAGCTTGCTGGGTCTACCACTAGTAGAAAAAACTAAATGGGAAGCGGTTCAACCCCCCTAATTGGAAGCGGTTTTGAACCGCTTCGGTTTGGGGGGCTTGCCATTGTCAACTTAAATTGGAAGCAGTTCAAACCGCTTCCAATTTGTGGAGAATTGGAAGCGGTTTTGGCGCCAAACCGCTTCCAATTCCCATTTCCCCCCATGAAATGTATAATGTAATTGGAAGCGGTTTTGGCGCCAAACCGCTTCCAATTTAGCCTTTTTTTTTTAAAAAAATTATTATTTTAAATAATATTAATATAATAATATTATTAGTGACCTTTCACAATAATTTTAGTATTATTAATTAATAATAAAATAATATTATTAATTGATATAAAATTAATATTATTAATTAATAATATAATTAATATTACAAACAATAATACAATGATATATATAACACGAAATAATTATATATATATAAAGTAACATCATTAATATATTTAATGAACAACAATATTTAATTACACCAAAATATATTAAGATTACAATTACAAATACTACATTACTTATAAATTAATGTTAATATATTAAAAACATTGTTAACTACGTACTTAAAATAATGTTGATAATAACTAATTAATAAAGTCAAGCTTACAAACTAATATATCCACTACGACAATTCTAGATGCCATCAAATGTCACGAAAAAAACCCACATGTCGCGAACTTCATTGATTTCCTTGCTTGTTAATGGGCCTTCTCTTTGAACCTTGCAAAACTTTAGAGAAAAAAAAAACCCAAACATTGTCATGAGTATCACAACAAAAGTATGTCAAATATTTCAAAATTAATCACCAAAATACGCAAGTACTTAGGCATCAAAATTCCCAAACAATTAGGCACGAATTTCACCGAAATGCACCAAAATCACCGAAAATCACCAAAATGCACCAAAATCACGTGCATGTAGAGGCTGCTGGGCAGCTGCTTGGGCTGATGCCTGCCTGGCTGGGTTGCCTGCGTGGGCTGCTGCAGCTGCCTAGGCTGTTGTAGTGGATTGACCTGCCTGCCTTGGCTGCTGTAGTGGTGCCTGGGCAGCCTACCTTGGCTGCTACACCTTCCTGGGCAACGTGCCTTGGCTGCTGCAGTGGCCTAGGCAATCTGCCTTGGCTCCTGGCTTGGGTTGTTGCAGCTGTCTTGGCATTTGGCCTGGGCTGTTGCAGCTTCATGGGTTGTGTGTTATGCTTGTGTTTTGTTCGGTGCAATAATGGAAGCAAGTAATAGATTGAATATAGTAAAAGCATACCTCATCTAGGTGTTGTGCTTCCGTGAAACTATTGACTATGTCAAGCATAAACCTCATCACGTATAGGGCACAATCAAGTCCGTTGTCATGTTGGGCACACTGACATGTCACAAAGGTAATCTAATCATGCATAGCCATAACCGAAGCCAAGTATATTAAGAAAATCACTAACTCAAGGCATTACCTTTGCATATTTCCACGTAGGACCCGCAACAGAACAACAATTTAGCTTCTTCATAACACTTTAGGAAAGTAAGTTCGAAGTTAGAAACATAAATACGCAATGATTTAGGTGAGGTCAATCAACAATAGGAAGCAATATGTACCTATTCAGTAGGTTCTTCACTAGCAACTTCCGTGGTGGATTCTCACGAACTGAATCAAAGTGGTATATTGTGTTTTTGGAAACACAAATCACCAAAAGGCTCCAATGAGCATTGCATATATTTTAAAAACGTCAACATATATACGCCACAGTTAACTACATTTTTAGAATTATGACATTTTTAGACGTACTCCTCAAAACATGGGGCTAATATGAACTTATCTCCCGCACGCGTTGATTCCTTAATACACTGTTATAGGTAATCTTCCACTTCACGAGGGTTGCATAAGCATCTGGTAATGGAGGTCTGCTCGAGGCAAAACCACCCAACTGCAACCTCGAAATTGCATCCACTAATAAGGTGCTCCTGTAGTGCCCTTCATGACAGTAATGTGGGGAATAATTATTAATTACATTGTTTACATTCGAAAATGCAACACCAATATGTTTAGGAATAGTGGCATTGAATTACCTCATGAAAGCTTGAATGATGGAAATGTTAAGCATGGTACCGGATAGAAATTCCTTCACATCCTCTTTTGCAATTGGTGCGATCCCATCCTCATCATAGTGGAACAACGCCTTAGGTAAATTCTTCTCTATATGCATCACATCGAGACAATGTCTAACATCATGTTCTTTCCAGTACTCAAGCTTCCAAAAGATCGATTCCTTTTTAAAGAGAGCATGTGGGTCTAAAGGTTTTGATGTTTTACCAAAAACATTTGGTATACCCTTCACTCGACCATACACCTCCTTTCCACTCAATGGTTTAGGCGCAGCCCCCTCTTCCACTTTCCCATTGAAGGCCTTTTTCTGCCTGCGATATGGGTGATCGCGCCTAAGCAATCTTCGGATCCTCACATACACATCTTTGCCGTAGTGTTCAAGGTACACGTTTGGTGTGTCATCGATACAAATAGGACATGCTTTATGCCCTTTGTTCTTGTACCCGGACAGGTTGCCGTATGCGGGAAAATCATTAATGGTCCACATATATAAGGGCTGCACGCAATAGGAACATATCGTTCTTATGGGCATCAAAAACAGAAACTCCTTCGTCCCACATCTTTCTCAAATCATCAACAAGGGGCTCAAGGTAAACATCTATGTCGTTTCCAAGTTGCCTTGGCCCCGTTATCAAAAGTGACTGCATTACGTATTTCCGTTTCATGCACAACCACGGAGGCAAGTTGTAGATCACTAAAAGTACCGGCCATGTGGTATGTTGGGTATTAAGAGTGCCAAATGGATTCATACCGTCGGTGCACAACCCAAGCCTTAAATTTCTGACTTCATCACCAAATGCCCTGAATTTCATATTGATGTTCTTCCAATCCGGAGAGTCAGCCGGATGCTTCAGCAAACCGTTTTTCTTTCTTCCCTCTGCATGTGGTATGTTGGGTATTAAGAGTGCCAAATGGATTCATACCGTCGGTGCACAACCCAAGCCTTAAATTTCTGACTTCATCACCAAATGCCCTGAATTTCATATTGATGTTCTTTCAATCCGGAGAGTCAGCCGGATGCTTCAGCAAACCGTTTTTCTTTCTTCCCTCTGCATGCCATCTCAAGTTCTTAGCATCTTTTGGTATTGAAAATAGACGCTTGAACCTTGGAATGATGGGAATATACCATAACACCTTGGCAGGTGGTCCCTTCATACCAGCATTGCAGCTCTTTCGCTTGTAACGCGACTTACCACAACGTGGACACTCCTCCAACTCTTCATATTCATTTCGATAAAGAACACAATCATTAGGACATGCATGTATCTTCTTATAGTCCAAACCAAATGGACACATGAGTTTGTTTGCATAATAGTAGGACTTAGGAAGTTCATTCCCATCAGGCAACATGTCACATAATACAGTCAACAAAGAAGTAAAACTAGTGTCGCTCCAGTTATGCTTTGACTTAATGTTAAAAAGTGTTAGTACGGCGGAGAGTTTGGTGTATTTTTTGGACCCAGGAAACAAAGGCTTTTTGGCAGCCTCTAATAATGACTCAAATACATCACATAGGTCACCAAATTCACCTTCAACATTATGCATCATCTCATCCAAGTGATCACCACCACCACCCTCGATCTCATCCCCCTCCTCATCCCCATCTCCACCATCATCAGTCCCATAATCATCTTCCGTACGAATCTCGACACTTTTATCGTGCGTATCATTCCCAACAACATTCTCCCTATACGATCCCTTTTCACCGTGCCAAACCCACACATGATATTGAGGCCTAAACCCATGACAAACCACATGATCCCTTATTGTATCAACATTGTCGACCATTGTGACATTGTTACAATTGACACAAGGACAATAAAGGTCATTCACACCCGTTCTAATATGATATTGTGAAGCACTCTCGCAAAACTCTTGGATCCCATTAAAGAATTCCAACGTATCACGTCTACGATACATCCAACCGCAATCCATCGACGTTTTAAATTGCCTTTACACATACCAACACATTACAGATAATGTATAAATGCAACATATATTATGTCAATCAAAGTATATAGTATGCATTTATATCGTCCATACATATAGTGTAAAAATGAATGTTCCCAAAAGGTTCTTATCACCCAACCTAACCCATCCTTGAACATCTAATCTCATTAGTGAATGTATGTCAACTTTCCAATTTTAAGGAAAATCCGGTAGCATTTCCCCCCAGTTCTCGAAGTACACAACGTAGGTAATTACTTACCTACATATGCACTCAAAGAACATGGTGACAAAATGCTAAGCCGAGATATTCCTTAAAATCGAAAAAGAGACGTACATTCACTACCTAAATGAGATTAAACCTCCAAGAACAGTTCCAAAAGGGGACTATTCAAGACTTCCTCCTAATGAGAAAGACTCGAACGAGTATCTAGGCAAATGACGATGCAAGCATTCAATAATTTGCATTTGTTTGTCATTTAACAAAACACAAGTTCATTCATTCATATAATGCTAATTAGACTACCTACAAGCAAACTAAGCTTACTTACAATCCACATTAATTCATCACTTTTTAGCTACTCAAATTCAAACAACATATAACATTATACAATTAAGGTAACAATTAACATTATGTATACAAATAATTAATAAAATAATTAACATATAATATGATTAACTAAAATTGAAACCCTAAAATTTGGGAAATTGTTAAGAAAAATTAGATAAGGTAGTAAGATTAAGCATGAACTCACCCTAACAGAAGGCATGTGGGGTGAGAGGGAGAGGAGTGGTGGTGGTGCCGTGTGAAGGTGAGAGGGGCAGTCGCAGCAATGGAGCAACAAGGGCAATGTGGCAGCAGGAGGAGCGTTCATGGAGCTCGACTGTGGTGGAGGCGGCGACGATGCTGCGGCAGGTAGTACTATACCGTCGTCCCTATGGTGGTCGGAGCAGGAGCAGCAACTAACCTAACAAAACCTAAGTGAAGCTAAGTGAAGTGAAGCTAAGGCAATGGTGTAGTTGTTGTGGTGGGGTTAAGTGAAGCTAACAACAATGGTGGTTGTGGTGGAGTGACGGTGTGAGAGTGAAAGAGGAAGCGAAGAAGGTAGCTAAGCTAGCAGCAGGGAGCGCAATTGTGAGAAATGAAGGAGGGGGAACGAGGGAGCTGAGTTAAATCCCGGTATTTTTTTTAAAGAAAGGGAAGCGGTTCAACCAAAACCGCTTCCAATTCTATCCCCCTTTTTTTTTGGGCGGGTTTTTGTAGGGAATTGGAAGCGGATTTCAAGAACCGCTTCCAATTTGGGGCTTCCCATTACCTTTTTTCTTCTAGTGTACTTTGCCAAGGTAAGTGGGTGGTTTGGGTGCATCTACTCTTTTAAAAAATTCCCCAAAAGCATTAAGGTCATTATGGGCTTTTCCCTGATTTGAGACAATACCGGCTACGTTTTCGGTTGTTTTGGTTAGCCTTTTGATGACAGAGCTGACTTTGGAACTACTCCCTTTCTTAATTCGTTGCCTTAGAGACATGGTCCTGAATAATGTGGTAATTAAGCACAATGAATTTACAAACAAATTATTCATCCATCCAACAAAGACTTAGAGATATGATAATTCTACTGTTCACAAAATATCTTGAGTACTAGTGTTCTTCAAATTAACTAATAAGTCAAAAATTGCCATTTAAAAGCAACCATAGATAACATCTTGAAATAAATCATCACAAGATTTCATCATATTTTGCATACAATTATAACACACAAATCAACAAACGCTTCACCATATAATTCATATAAGAGTGTAGTTCACCTTCCAATCCATTTTCAATTTAGGAATATTATCGTATAATTCATGAACCTTCACCAATACTTTGGAATATAAAATTCCCAAAAGACCATCAACCTTGCTCTAATTCGAATTTAATCTAAACTTTACACTTTAACAATATATTTTGGACGTATGCTTAGTCCATATGCACATAATTTACGTAAAATTTGAAATCACTTTTTGAATACATTTTAAACTCTTTAATTTCAAAAACATTATATATAGTTATAAGTTGAATACTTGATTCAAAATGTGGATTATTTGGACCAATGAGATCCCAGGTAGGAGAGGTTAGGGTCGACGTTGCCCTGAGACCAAGTCCTGCCTAGCCAGAGCTCATTGCCAATTTAATAATCCCCACTATTAATCTTTCTTCATGTTAAAATAGAAAGTAGTTTTACTTAAATACTTAATACATACTTGAGGAAAACAAATGTGAAACTCTATCGTATATGCCCTTCTTAGGTCTACTCATCAGTTTTTATTTTCTCATTTTAATCTTTTTAAGACCCGAAAACTGATACCACTTTGAAACACCCCCAACTTACTCTCCAAAAATTCGTGGGAATAATCCCACCTTTGGGTCGTTCGCTTTTAATAATCCCACCTTTCAATTATTTTTTAATAATCCGACCTTTACCCCCATTCTTTTTTAATGGTCCCAACCTGTCATGTAACCTGTTATAACAGGTTACATGACACGTGGCGGCCTGTGATTGGTCAAAAAACTTTAAAAAAAATAAAGAAAATTAAATAAAAAAACAAACCCAGCCCCTGTTTTGGCAACCCCCTCTTCCGCCAGCCCTGCCGCCACCGTTGGGAGGCTGCTGCGCCGGCAACCTTCTTCTTCCGCCATCTCACTTCCGGCCCCCTCCCCCACCACGTTTTCCGGGCCCCTTCTCTTCCTCTCGCCTCGATCCCACCACCACAACCGTACCAATCCCCTCTCCTCCGACCCCATTTTCTCTCTCTTCTTCTCCCATAACTTCTCCTCCACCGCCGACCACCTCCAAGACAACATTCGTCCGATTTCGACCCTCCTCCCTTTCCCCCGTCCCATTTCCGGCTCCCTCCCCTTCCAACGCGTCAATTTCGACCATTACCATCACATTCACCTCACCATCACTGTACCATCAACACCATTGTTATGGTGGTGGTTCGAGATGGCTAAGTTTGAGGTGGGTGAATTCTCGAAGGGGGCTGGGGTTCGTGGTGGTTGCATTTGGGGTGGGGGGTTTAGGGTGGTGGTTATGGTGGGGTTGGGGCTGGGTTGCGAATGGAGATTTGGGGTGGTGGTAATGGCTGGGACTTGTGGAGGAGGTGGCTGGAAGACTGCTTTTTTTTTTTTTTTTTTTTTTTGTTTTTTAATTTAAAATTTTAGACAAATTGTATAGTGACACGTGTATTTTAAACAAAAAAAAAAAATTGACCGGTTTAACCGGTTTCTGGTCAAATGGGACCATTAAAAAAGAATTGGGGATAAAGGTCGGATTATTAAAAAATAATCGAAAGGTGGGATTATTAAAAACGAACGGCCCAAAGGTGGGATTATTCCCATGAATTTTTCCTAATAATTATTATAAGACATGATTTAGAGAGTAACTTAGGGATATTACCGCCACGTGATTATGTAAGGCTTAACAGAGACTTGCAGCGGAAGAAAGGTATTTATTATTTATTAATTATTTAATAATAGTTTTGAAACACTTCCGAAGTAACTAAAACACTGATACTATATATGTTTACTAAATAAAACTAGGTGATCACCGCCCATCGTTCCCAATGTAGCATATAATTCACGCTGTCTGATCGTCATCACCTATCTACTCATCATCAATGATAAGTAGGGCCAAGCCAAAACAAAAGAGAAATACCTATTAGCCAAAATGCGAAGCACATACAAATGCTAGACGTGTAAAATCAATTTAGTTCATTAAACATGCTTTTGAAAGATCCGACTCTAACAAGTCATAATTTATTCAAACCTCTTAAGAATAGAAATTCTCATATTAAAATGTATCACTATTCGAAATCAACCTCTTTCAATAATATTTCCGAATAAAATAGAATATTGTTAAATCCTCATTTCGCAATTCATTTTTCCACCTAAGTGTGCACACCCCCCAAGCTAATAACTCCTTTACATAGTGCTATCAAGGAGAAAAACTAGGTCATGCATAGCCCATAGTCTTCAATTTTCTCTCCGCATAGTGGGAGTCATAAATCCAAATATCCAATAAATAAATCTGATAAATAAACTTTTCAATGTCCCATACCCGGGATAATTTAAACAATAAAACTTTCTTTTTAAACATCTTGAATACAAGTTTATAATCATCCATTTAAAATATTTAAACATTTAACATCAAAACAATTAAAACATGTTTCACCGAAATATAATTCATAATCATTCAAACATGGTTCGAAAACACTTAACATGTAAACCATGTTGCATATAAAAGTCACTTTATAAGAGATATAGCTACGTGTACGTACCTTGATCTTTGAACACAAGTACGAAACTCCTAATTACGAACTCCAAATTCCTCCTACAATAAACCAATAATCCTAATCAAATGCTTTTCAACTCATAGACACAAGGACCTAAAATATTGACTTTACTATTTGTGCATGAACAATTGATTATTTTAACCCTTTTATAAATTTAACACTTGCTTTTATAAAATAATCTTTAATAATCCATAATAATAATAATAATAATAATAATAATAATAATAATAATAATAATAATAATAATAATAATAATAATAGTTGTAGTGGCTTAGAGTAGTATGTAGTACGAGTAGTATATTGTAGTAGTAGTGATAGTAGCCATGAGAGTATGTGGTACGTAGTAGTAGTAGTAGCAGCAACATGGCAAGGTAGTAGTAATAATCTTAATAATAATGATAGTAGTAGTAGTTGAAGTGGTGTAATAGTAGTAGTAATTTAGTAGTACTTACGGCAACAACAACAAGGAGGGAGGTGGCGGCAAGGTGGTGGTGTCGTGGTGGCTTACGACCAAAAGGGGAAACGAAAGAAAGAAGGAGATGAAGAGGAAAGAAAGAAGGAGAAGGTATATGGAGTAAGAATGCCTTACTTCTATTGCTATTTATAGCCTCCAAATGGCACTATTTCAACTCCCATCATCAATGTAGTTTGAC